GATATCTCAAGAACCGCATGTTGGATTTTGACGAAACTTGGTACATAGGTGCTCTGGACAAGTGTACAGATTTGATTAGTTTGGGGTAAAAATCCATGCATAAAATTAACCTAATTTGCACGATAATTAGTTAAATATAAGCTGTTCTATGACTGTTCCACTGATATCTAAAGGGCCATTTATTGGATTTTGATGAAACTTGTACATAGATGCTCTGGACTAATGCACAAATTTAATTAGTTTTGGGTAAAAATCAATTCATATAATTAACCTAATTTGCATAATGATTAATCAAATTTCAGCTTTTCCACTGATAGCTCAAGTACTAATCATCACATTTCAATGAAACTTACATAGATACATAGGACAATGCACAGACAGATTTGTGAAATATTAATTACCTAATTTGCATATTAATCAATTTTTAAATTTTGATATTTCAAGTACTATCACTTCATTATTTTAAATGAAACTTGGTACATATATTTTCTAGAACAATGCACAACCCTGATTAATTTGGGGTAAAAATGTGTGCATATTAATCAACTAATTTGTATAATTAGTTAATTTTCAGCTTTTAGACTGATATCGGAAGTACTAATTATCCCATTTCAATGAATCCTAGTACAAAGATGTTCTAGGACAATGCACAGACCTGATTAGTTTTGGGTTAAAATCAGTGCATATTAATTAGCCAATTTTCAACTACATATATACACTAACATAGGTTTATATACATCTATAATAATTACCTAATTTGCATAATAATTTATTTTTAGGATTGATCATCACATTGTAATGAAACTAACCTAACTAAACCTAAATCTATGCATAATAATTGCTTAATTTGTATAATGATTCATTTGGTTATTAGAAGTAGTCCAAAGACGTGATTAGTTTAATGTTGCATGCATGCATATTGTTTATCTATTATTAGCTTATTCCTGATATCTTAAAAAGTCAGATTTAAATTGAATTCATCACTCTAATTAATTAAAAACCATGGATGAAAAATCAAATGTATTTTCTGTATGTATTATAAATTTTGATAATGTAAATCACATTGTTTTCATGTTGTGCATCGCAAATAGCAGACAAATATTAGTTGCTAAGCTTCTCGTTTGAAATGCAAATCTTAAATGTTGAATTAATTTTAATGTGTCTCCCATACTCTCAGCACACGGGAGCTTTCTTTGATTTTCTAGACAAATAATGATAATTGATAAGGAAATGGAGAACAATGCGTTTGAGTTACACCAAACTGGAAAAAAACAAACATATTCTTAAAATCCAAACTTGTCCGACATAACCTCATTGAGTGATCGGCAGTCAAACATTTTCAAATGTATCCCTTCTCCAAGCACCGATATAACTGTTCAGAATTTGACGGGCGCGCCATCTAACGGTAAATTCGGTCAATCATGATGCTTGGCGACATTGTAGATAGATATCAAACCATTTATGAAGCTTCATGAAGTTATTTTCTGCGTCTGTCATCGCCTCTCAGCTACATGCGTTTGGTTCCACTGGTTTAATTATGTATAAGTCATTATTATCAAAGACTTCTTTCAGTACAAAAAGTGAAATTCGTTTTTAATACAGTTTGGACAATAATTAAAAAATCTCTCTCCGTCCAGATATTTAAAATACATAAACTGTTCTTGGAATTATTCGTAGTTTAAATAGCCAATATTTGATTGTCAATGTCAACATCCAGACTAAGTATATGACGTCATAGTTCTCGTATAGCAAGCGTATAGGCGTGGCTGCTAGGTCCATATGAGTAACAACAAAACTCATTATGTACTATGTATGTACAAACTTTCGAACCATACCAAGTGTCGATAATACCTTTAACTTTCAAAAATAATTCATTAAAAGGTAGAAACTTCTAACAATGCAGGCATATATTTACAAATTGCTCTGTGACATGATGGTCATTATCAAAAAGCACAAACTCAATGCAGACAAACTTTTATGGTTAGTACAAAACAACACATACTGGTTGTTATTGTCACAGAATTAGTTTCTTTTTATTCAAACAATCAAATCATGATAGAATACCAAATAGAGTTTTCAGCTGCAGTACGAATGTACTTAAAAAGTTGATTCTATGCGATCGTAGATGTTCACCTAACAGTCGGAAAACTATTTTGATAATTTACCATATTTTGTTTAATTACGGATTTGTCTCGAAACAATAAGTTATATGTTTACACGCGGATTTAACTTAAATATAGTAAAAATAACAATTAATGCACTTACATCATGCAACTATTATTTATCGTAATAAATTAACGTGGATTACGTATGCAATAATTGCAGTCATACCAATAATTAAAACAATCTTGCCATCGGAAGACGTGATTGCCACATATTGACTGGGGGCTGTGCTCAGTATACCTATAATCCTTCAGTCTAGTTGTTTCATATACACACTATGTATCCGAGGCGTTCCTCGTGGAATGCGTATAATCAATCATAAGAAGACGGGTTTTCAACTCCCTCTACCACTTTATAAAGATTTTCGGGCCCCGTTTAATTACTTTCCTCTACGTATTTTACCATGACTTGTGACAAACTCTTAATAGCCACTAAAATTCAAATATTATAATTATAAAATTACATACATCTTATCGAGTCTAACTACTTTTCGGAGAGGGCTTACTTACATGTTTCTTGAACAGGTATAATAATAAACCTCGTCGGTGGTGTGAAAGTCTTTACTTTTAGCCTTGCTTCTGTTGGGAAACGGGAATCGTTTGGTTAAAATAATCACCACAGTTGACAGTGAACAAGAAGGGAAATGTATTATGTAACAAATAAACAATATCGCAGAAACACAGAATATGTGATTCATAAAATGAACACTAGGGGGCGCTAATCACAAATATACAGCAACACAAGTGGTTTCTCTCATTCCAAAAATGAACACTGGGTGGCGCTAATCACAACTCACAGCAACACAATGAACTCTACAAGTGGTTCCTCTTATTCCAGAAAAAAATGAACACTAAGAAGGCGCTAGTCACTCAGACTTCGTATTGAAATAAATGAATGAAATCAAAATCTCCATAGTTTTAGAAACATTTCCACTCTCCGACGAGTAGCTATGTAGTTCGGCGGGTGTCTTAATAACTTTCTGTCACACTGATGAAACAGTGCACTCCAGTTTAAAACCGTGTCTGTGCACAGGGGAAATCAGCAACCACTTTGCTAACCCAGGCGTGACTGCAAATGACTCTTCCAGGTGTCAGTGTCGTAACCCCAAAGAAATACACATTTATTCATCGAAATGTCAGCTAAAGTAACGCCTCGCTGTCCACTTCCCTCATTCTTCTGTTACGAAATCTTAGAAACTCTATCCTAAATCTTTAAGGCGTGGCTGAGTAAACATGCGATCAGCCAATCGCTGCAGTCGATTGCACGATCACGTGATTACCATTTTTAGTAATTTTAAAAATCGCAAGTTGAGTGTTGCTTAAATTTGTCGAAAAATGTCAACCCCTCGTTTATTTTAGTCAATTGGCCCTGTTACAAAAATGGACTAGACATAATAACGGTCGTCATACCTTCGTCATTTTCAAACTGCAGTTGAAAAAGTGATTCGCTCAAGGAAGGCACTTTTAATTTGACAAAGTCCATCAAAGCGTTATAATCAAGTTTTCCGTCCGTGTATTCCTGACGTACTCTCCCACCTCGGTATAAAATCTGAATTTGATACATAATGTACCAGTAATGTAAAAAAATTTAGTTTGGCTCAAAACTGTCGCGAAATAGCAGCGCGTCCAATACTAAGGAACTCTATTTTGAGCCTTCCCGCCAACGACGAGTTCATTACATGTAATACCTGGGCTTACTGAACACTCGGGAGTTGTTTTGTAAATTGCGCTCTGTCAGGTGGACTCAGATGGTTAAAACAATTTAAAATAACACTTTGAATGCACATACAACCTGTTAATGTATGATAATCAACCCGTGTCGTTTTGAAAACAGCGTTTTACCCGCATCTAGCAAGATGATGGAATGATCCCAACTATGGGCCTGCCAATACAACGGCGCCATCAAGTCTAGATTGGAAAAGACCCAAGTGTTTTGCAAAGTTCCAAGATATATTGCTAATTGACTGTCCGAATAATTCTCAAAACGGCTGTAAAATAATACACGAACATTTCCAAAACTTCCACGACTCGTACACACGTGTACTACATCACCCATGGTCACTTTCCCCGGAACAAAATTTCATCATTAGACTAGGATCACGGTCAATCGAATATGATAATAATAAATAAGTCTAATCTTTGACGACGCCATGCTTGAGGGCGCTGCACACTATTACCCTGTTAGTAAGCTGCCATATATAGGCGCACATGAGATGGACCCTTAGTAAAAATCTAGTCACAACTGAAATTGTCAGTTCATGTGAAGCGATATTACCTTTCAATATTTTTTATTATTTAATTTATGTTAAATTGTACTAAAAATACTTTCATATCTTAATTGCCTTTGATTTCAGCTATGAATCATATTAAATGCATACATGCGACGCCCTTGAGTGACTGAAAGCTATACCGATGAAACATGGTGATGTTACTGTGTTGTTTATTAACTCAAAACTCATGTACTTCCAGCGCAACAAAGGCATTACCTTCGTCTTTATAAATAATCACCGAGCACAGTGCGTAACGACGTCCTTTGAAAACGTTCGAATGTTAGTCAATTGGCCATTAATATGATTGCCAATTGGGGAATTATTATAGACGAAAAACAAATTATCTGGATCTAATAAATCGAGATCCCTAGATAGTAAGTTTACCCGAATTTACAAGATTGGTGGTAAAGTGTGGTTGATGTCATGCTCCAATTTTGTTGTAGCTTCTTATGTATATTCAGATAAAAACAACACAGATTAATTTTGCACGAGTTGTTGTGAGGGCGCTGTACAAGGAAATAAAAGTGTTGACATGCTCCAGTACACAACCAAGATGGCGACGTCGAGGAAGTAGGGTCCCGTTCGGGGTTGCGGTAAATACTTAATAACATTCGAGATATGAGATAACTGGACGATTTAAATCACTTGACTGTCCTTTGAAAATATCGTAGAAGAAGTGTATCTGAAAAGTTGCACACGTAAGTTTAAATGTTATTTTAAATGTCAACCTTTCGATTTTTGACTTCCAAACTTTTGTTTCCACGTATCGTTTCCTGGTTCAGTGGTCGTAATAAGTTATTTTAAAATCTGCGGGTTTCCCAGAATATGGCTATATTTAGATACGTAAATGTACTGTATTCTAGATGCACTTGTCCTCTCTGTTGTATACGTTTTAATCTAAATATGCCGATATTGTTGTTAGCCAGGATTGCAATGTTTTCGTACTTTTAACAAGGAAAGATAGGTACCACACCCGGCCTCCATTGTAATTTGTTTTGTAAACTCGATGGATCGATTGAGAGTGGCCGTGGTTTGGGGAAATAAATTGTTGATTATGTTAAGAAATACTACTATCTCATTCTTTTTTTTAAACACACTATACGTTATACGAATCAAGCGATCTGTGTTGTGCAGACATATCTGTATTTCACGTTTTCTGTATAAATATATATATACAGTTATTGTGTTCAAGGTACCAAGCTTTTTCCAGTTGTAAATTGGTACTATTAATAGAATTCAGAATAGAATAAATATGTGTAGAATAGAATAGAAAAAAAACACTTTATTAGAAAATTCATAATTTGTAAATACATGTATGTGAATTTATTTGAAGAAATGATTTCAAACAAAAAAAGTAAACTGAGAACCAATTCAAAATTTTAAAACAGACCACATCACAGTCCTTTATCCCCGATCTGGAAATACCTAGCTTCCTTTTGTCTTGAACCATGTTGCGGGTAAACAAACCGTTCACACCCGGACCGAGGTTGTCAGGAGGTCAGACAGTTTACGATACCATCAAAATACTCATTAAAATGGGCAAATTTACTGTCATACAAAGCGATATCTCATTGTACATGTATGACAATACTTTTACCTCAAATCACAGGCAACTACAACGTAAACAAAATTAGCACTATGAAATTTTGCGTTATTGAACCCCGGTACATATCAAAACCAGCCTACCAACTGCCATGTGAAGATTAATATCAGGAATCATGCTCATCTTCTAGTTTTAATAGGGAAAAATCAGCACATACCAACATGCTGACATCGCTAAACAAATCTTGTCAAAACGGCGTTGTTCATGTTGAGGCCGTTGATCGAAAAACCTGTGATATTTCTGATTATTTGGGGTTCATAACAATTCAAGTCAACTATACAACAACTAATGACTTTATTCGATACACCAGTGTATAACAATGCTTCAATTTTTGCATATAAAGAGATTTTTGTAGCACTGAATAGTGAACATTGTCATTTCAAAACGTCGCCATTTGCATTTGCAATCGAAAAGAGCATCCATAGAAATCATCCAATTTAACATTAATAAAATACGGTGTTACAAATAACAAATCAGCCCACCAATTTTTAATGATATGTCTCGATTATAAGATGTTAAAATCAAAAACAAATATTGGTTTCGCGCCGTGAAGAAGGGTAAATCAAATTTCAATTATTCCAAATCGCTGTTGGTAAAATGTCGTGGTTAAAAAAATTATGTGGAAAAGCTTGAATTCTGGAATAGACAACTAAGTTGTAAAAAAAGCACATAGCACTGGCGATGTTAAGCACAATAGCAGGTATTGCTGGTACCCCACAACCCCGAGGGGAAAATAGACGTATACTAGAGCCCGAATTAGGCCATGCAATATGTGTTTTATAACACATTACACATAGAATTGCTGGTGGAACGTGCATAGATCGCCTGCAGTCTTCTTCTCGACTTCTTCACAAACAAGACGCTTCTAGAAAACCTGATTGCATCCTTCGTCTTCAGTGCATCTTTATTTTCTACTAGTTAGTCAAGTTCTTCTTCTGAACTGAAGCTAAATCGTCCAGTCTATCGAGGCGGACCATTTATATCAGCGACCGAACTAGCAGATGACATATTGGAAATCACACGATCAGAGTGACGTCATTCCCGGGCAATAGTTGATGTACTAGTCTCCCTAGAGAACTAGTAATTTCTATGGTAATTTAGCCGATAACAGGTGATCCTGTTTTGACCTATTATGGTACAGTATTAACGAGTGATGTGTTATAACAAAAAATAGTGACTGACTAAATTATCGCTCATTAAAAAATGACGATTGTCAAAAATGTAAATATTAAGTACAAAAAAAGTCGAAAAATGAATGTACCATGTACATGTATTGTTATAAAGCACAATGCATTTATCACTGCAATCATAATTTATTATATATAAACTGTTACCTGTTATGCTATTAACTCACTTATTTGTCATACATTATAACATATTGTAAACTTATTATTTGTTGCATTTTACCAAAATAGTTTCTTTGCTCCACAGGAAATTCACAAGAACTCAAGACATACATTATGGCTGTGTCTCTAAACTGGCTTTACCTGTGGACTTCAATTGTTGTTATTTTCATATCTTTACATCATGTAAAAGGTAAGTCTGGGTGATTCACACAATATATTTTTCAACATTTTTTTCATAAAAATGTTTCTTATTGTTATGGAAAGTTAAGAACAAGACTGAAGCAAGTTTTCTACAGTGAAAGTGGAATTATCAGCATGCTATAATTTCTGATAAACATGACATGTATGTTGAGTTTGGAGGATATACTGTTCAACAAAATATCGGCATCTAATTGGGATTGAATTATGCTCCCTTGCTGACTAATTTGTATGAAACTGAATTTCTAAACTAATTGTGTATTGTATCGTTATCGGAAGACCAAACCGTGTCTGTATTTCTGTGATGCTATTCACATAGTTAAACACAAAAAGTAAAAAGTAAAAAGTGATATTTTCGACTTGTTGTTAAAAAACACAAGTCCGATTGCTTCGATATTATACATGTAGGTACCGTACCTCAGTTAGACCTCTATCAGATTTGTTCATTTTCCAATGATATCTTCAGTTCTTTAATTGAAATGTGCATTGCTAACAGCAGAGCTATCTCAGCCGAGAGGCTGCTTGTTAAATAGTTTCTTCTTTATTCATTTTCAATCTCGTAAAATTGTTATTATATCCGCGGGTACTGTAATTACGCAACTTGTATGCAACTCTGTACTGGCTTTGAATATATCAACGTCGTTTACTTAGTGCACTGCTTTTCCCATTACGCAAATTTGTTTACAATATTGTACCGGCTCTGAATATTTCAACTTCGTAATGTGTTGCTTTCATGATAATTAGTTTTTTTTTTAACCACGCGTTTGAATTACGTGTGGCATTGGGCAATGACCTCCAGAGTTCATGCACTGATATTTAAATTCGGGCCACCCAGCTTGACGCAAATCAATATAGTTACTTGTCATTTGTTCAAAAAATCTTTCAACTCTCCCAAATACCATGGATGCGAAGAGTTAACTGGGGGTAAATGAAGAGGAACGTCTTTCTTGGACAAAAAATACGTCAGTACAAGATTATGTGTGCAAGGTTAGATTTATAGAACGTACATGACCGCTTAACCCTGTGGTTTTTTACCGAATCCGGTATAATGAAAATGTGACACGAGGTCAATCGCCCAACCAATCAAAAACGTGGCGGTTTACTTAAATGACATATATAGAATAATGGCGGACACACGGTCGATGCAACCCTGTGGATCAGCGGCGAAAAATTTCCATCACGGAAATTCGTAATCGATGTGCTAACTGATGGATTTTTATCGACTGAGTAATAATATTGCCTAACATCTGTAGTGTCGTGGGGGAATGATTTTTTTCAGGTCAAATCTTTACCGAACCTAAACTGCTTGCTAACTGAAAGGCTGTGATGACGGAGATCATCTGCGATTGCGGCTACACCAAGTACTGATAACATAAAAGCTCAAACAAAATGTATATTTTTAATGTCTTCATGCAATATATTCTGAGTTATCCACTTTATTCTGGCCCGCGAATTAATAGGATACAATTTTAAACATGTTTTTGAACGCCGCGAATTAAAAGGATACATTTAAAAATTAGCGTTCGAAAATAAAATGGGTGCGCGAATTAATAGAGACCGTGAATTAATAGAGTTTTTACGGTAATAAACACAATATACTACTTGTATGTCAGAAATCAGTGAAAATAAATTCCATTCAAAACACCCAAAAACACTTTTCAACGAAAATTAATGCCAGCTAAAGTAAAGTATTTTACAGTATAGTTGTAATAGGTATATTGTATACAAATATGTTCTTTGTATTGGTTAAATCAGTCACTGTAATAAGTATGTTTTATTTTCAGGTCAATGTACTGCATTCCCAACTACACAGTTTACACAGTCTGTGGAATGTTCTGATGGTTTAAATGATACCAGTGTATGTACATACATATGTTTAGATGGATCTACATTGACTTCAACTTGTAATGGTACTTTATGGACAGTTAACCATGTTAGTTGTAGTGGTGAGTATAATTATTATGGTATAAATTATAGTATATTTTTTAGCTCCCGTGAAATAGAGCTTATGTGGTACCGGTGTCTGTGACTCTGTGACTAAAATTTGTTCCACTGATAACTCAAGATCTACAATTTCAATTCAAATGAAATTTGGCACACAGCTAATATATGATGAGTAGATGCACTGATTAGATTTTGGTGCAATTCCATGCATATTAATTAGTCAATTATTGCATTGATTAATTTATAACTTAGAGTCTTTAAAGTTTCTTAACAAATATTTGACGAGGGTGAGTAGCCTAATTTGCATATTGCAATAACATATTCTGTCGCCAAAAAAAACTGGTAATATTTCATTGGAAGGTCTGCAAATTTGCAAATTTTAGTATATAATGATTTATTATATCATGGTGGATGTTATTTGAGCAGATACAGCGACTAAAAACATCAAATGTATGCGAGTATGGGGAGTATGTATGCGCAGTTACAAGAGTGACGCGGCCATTTTTTCGGTTTGACGAAAAAGCAGTACCCTTCCCGATTTTCATGAACGCAAGTTCAATTTCACTTTGTGCGTCATATTCATCAATAGACAAAATCGAAGACAGATGTCGTACAACTTTCTGCCAATCTTGATTCGTAAATGTGCTGGTTACATGCACAGTGTTCTCCTTGGGCCTGCGTCGCTTAGACAATAGCCGCGTAACTTTCGTTTCGCTCGCAATTCTGCAGTGTTTTCATCAGGTCTTTTAAGGGTATCGGGTCCGATACTGTTCTTTCTTTCCATGATACTGTTTCTCTCAAGCTGGGCCGTTTCCAGGCCATTGTTTTGCAATGATGAATCAGAACAGAACAATTCGTGTGAACTGATCGATCCTAACTTATTATCTGGATACTCGTATGCGGATACTTCGGCCTACTTTCAAGCATGAATATAGAAGGAAGTAAACGATTTTTTTTCAGTATCCTTCCAGACTTTGCAAGAAATTTATATAATAATCACAGTGATTACTACTATTGGGTTCAAAAATTATTTATGATCATTCAAAATATAGTGGCCATGGCTGTCGGTTCAACCATGTACTATTGTGACGCCACGAGCAGAGAAAAGGAAAGCTGAATCCCAGCGTCTACACTTAATCCATGTATAAGGCAGACACCCGACAGCAACAGCAATGAAGTTTGTCAGTTTTATTCAAGATATAAATTTTCTATTTTTTACGCATTGGAGCTACACATCATGATTGAAAGCACTTCCAATGTGATCTAATTTGTAAACAATCCCTTTGCACACGACTCCCAGTCGCATGGTTTCTATCTTACTCAAATAAAACGAAGCAGTTGATTCCTATTTTTAGCTCCGCTGTCGACTTTGTCGAGTGGAGCTTATCATATGAGTGATTGTACGTCGTCGTCGTCGTCGTCCATCGTCGTCGTCCGTCGTCCGTGTCAATGTTTTACTTTTTCGACTTCTTCTTGAAAACTACAAGCCTGAATGCTTTGATACTTGGTGTATATGTACCTTGGGTAGACCTCTCTCAGATTTGTTCATTTCATGATGATATCTTCAATTCTCTAATTTTGGTGAATATTTTTGTCATTTTTAGTAAAAAGTGATATTTTCGACTTCTTGTTGAAAACCGCAAGTGCAATTGCTTTGATATTACATATATAGGTACAAAATGTGGACCTCTATCAGATTTGTTCATTTTGTAATGATATCTTTAATTCTCTAATTTTGGTGAATATTTTTGTCATTTTTGGTAAAAAGTGATATTTTCGACTTCTTGTTGAAAACCGCAAGTCCAATTGCTTTGATATTTACATATATAGGTACTACATGTGGACCTCTCTCAGATTTGTTCATTTCATGATGATATCTTTAATTCTCTAATTTTGATGAATATTTTTGTCATTTTTGGTAAAAAGTGATATTTTCGACTTCTTGTTGAAAACCGCAAGTCCAATTGCTTTGATATATTATACATATAGGTACTACATGTGGACCTCTCTCAGATTTGTTCATTTTCTAATGATATCTTCTGTTCTTTATTGCCATGTGCATTGCTAACAGCGAAGCTATCTCAGCTGACAGGCTGCTTGTTGATATTTTTAAACAAAAATGCACTCATTAAACAAATAGTAAATATGCGAGTTTTTTGTTTTTGCTGAACGAAGACAAGGAAGACAAAATGGCGGTAGTTTTGTGTAGGGTCGATCACGATCTTCGGTTTGTATCAAAAGCACGTCTCACAAATGAAATTTTTTTTTTTGAACGATAATTTGATAGCAATTACATGTAAACAAATTTCAATCATTGGCGTATGTAAGGGCTGGATCACTTACTTTCAAGGGCTCAAAGTCCAGACGATCATTAAACTACGATGTTTTTATTTATCTGTTCTAGGTATGTTTGTACAGACTTTTTAGTTGTACTATTTTGATTTAATTTCAAGAATCTGTCAAGGAAACGATCTGTTGTAACTTTACATGTTCACATAGGTTTAATTTAGCAGATTTTACTTGTCAGCGAAAATAGCGAAATTTGCCCATTGCGTCAGGAAGATCTATCCCGATTTGCTGCACTGAGGTTAATTGCAGTTTTAACTACTCCATCGCTAATGACACTAATTACCAAGAATTAAAAAAAAACAAGTGAAATTAAGTCGCATTGGGAAAAAAAACCATAAGAAAATCAAAGCAACAATTATTCAACTGCAGACGAGACAAACCCCGACCTCTAGAAATACCTCATTCATAGAGTGCCCTTTAGTGCCCTTTGTTTACAAGTATAGTGTCCTTGCATGTTTTCCAAATGCCCATATCAAAATCATGCGTTTCCATATACAGTATGTCATAGATTCTCAGACATCTTGATCAATTTTATTGATGGATTGACCTACATGCAATTACATTCAATTATTAGGCAAAGCCTACACCTTTATAATACATGCTCTGATCACACGGGAGCTACAAAATGTATTTAGCCTATTTACAGTTTAACTTTGATTCATAATTGTCATTTATGGTTGAATAGAAACTTCTGCAAAAACAAATTTATAGTGCAAATTAAAACAAAAATACAGTATCTTTAATATTGTGTTATTTACTTCTAAATCTACATTAAAGCTTCCAGTATTTGTGCAGCAGGTTACTAGTAACAGACTGGTAGTAAATGCCAAAAGTATGGAACCAGTGTCTAAGCTATACAGCAATTGCTCCTGGTTTGCTGCAATTTATATTGATTCAGCTTCAAGTTAAATACAACCTCATAAATTCTAACTTCTATTAAATTACAAAGACCTTAATAACCTTTGAATCATTTCTTCTATAATTGTAGGTAGTGGCAAATTGTCTGGCATCATCGGCATTGTTGTTGTCCAGCATTGTCATAAACTTTTCTTGTGGACTTGATAACTCCAAAAATATTCATCATCGCTATCAAACTTACATATACAGGTTACTCTATGTGTAGTTTAAATATGGTTTTGTTCCCCATAATAACATCACTTTTTATTCTGTACTATTTCTACATGTATTCTCAAAAAATCTAATATGCCACTGAACAAACCATTCATTCATACATATATGTATTCGCCCAATACATCATCTGGTTTACCAATTTTGTCAAGCCAGTCTTGCAATAACCAATCTGCTCAGAACTATACAATTCTTCCCTCCTTGCACAGATACATGTAGATCACCATTGGACCACAGAGAGCATTTACTAACATTACCCGGTAATGATATTTTAACTAATCTCCTCACCTTGTATAATTCACAAACTCAAGTCTATTACCTCATTCACTAATTTTAGACTATATGCATTAGCGATTTAGCATCTAAATTGCATATTATAACAGTGAAAAAACAGTGAAAACAGTAAATATTGCTGCTGCATAAGTTCACTGCGAGTTTTTCGAATACATAATATTTAAATACACCTCAAACAAATAAGTTTGTGAGATGTGTATAAACAAAGGTCTAATGGAGCAGAAATGCACTTTCGGATGGAATGCAACAAATACATTGTATAATGAGTTGCGTACCTATCTGTTCTATAAATCTGCAGAGAACAAATTTATGGAATTGTTGAGTTGTTTTCAGAATGAAAACATTATTATACCAGTAGCACAGTTTATAAGTAAAAAGTCAGGAAGCAGGATCTTATTTTACATTTTAATGCCTGCTGTCAGTAATATTAACTTTTACTTTTTTTTTCTGTTTTTACTTATTTTAGTAATCTCATATTATGACAGAACCCCACACCCTCCCCATGGCTTTCGTTGCGTATGGAAGTTATTTTCACGAGTGATGCGGTATATCCTGCGGCCGTACTTTCACAAGCGAAGTGAGTGAAAGTACGGCAGAATACACCGCATCTCAAGTGTGATATCGATGTTGCTTGCTGGTCGTGGATTTAATGAGTCTTGGTTACCAGTTAAAATGTTACTTATTTGGCGTTAATAAACTATATTTCGAACCGAGTAACGCCGCAACGTTGCCAGCAGAAACCTCCTGGTAACTTGATGTTGGCGGTTGTGGCTCCAGAGTAATCGCTATTTTTACTGCAGGTGGATCTTTCGAGAGCCCTTCAAATCTTATAAAACTCAGTTTCCAGGTGATCAACATACATTAAGTTCTCCCAATCTTAGTATTCCATGTGATGTACATCTGACATGCCAAAAATGTTGTTGAACGATTTGAACTGGATAAAAATAGCAGACGAAAAATAGTTCATAGAAATAGTTCAGTAGCCAATGGAAATACAATGTTCATTTGCATATCGACCATGAAAATACCAAAAACATTATTGCATGGGTGATATGCAAATTAGTTTTCGTCAAAATAAGTGACTGCCTAAAAGTACCATTACTGTTGTTAAAATTTCATTTCACTACTAAGGCAAGTACATTCATGTATCCTAAAGGAAAAATATCGTACTTCTAAATATTGTTTATTTATGGTGAATCTTTTGAGAACATAGCATGTTCTTGTATTTCACAGTTGCATGTGAATTACACGCCAGCTATTTTAAAGAGTGGAGAACACTGAAGGGTTCTGGTATTATGAGATGTCATTATTTATCTGTTGTGGTTTCATTTGCTCTTTGTGGTTGAATCCAATTGGGTAAATGTGTCTATGACAATTCATTTTCTCATTTACTTCTTAATATATTTAGAGAACAGTTCCAATTGATAATTATGCCTCAATTAATAATTACTTAGATAAAAAACAGAATTAGGGAGATGGAAATACGATGCTCGCACAGGCTCAAATGGTAAAAAAACAGTAGGTACAAGTATAGATGAAATACATGTATGCTCATAATTGGAAATGTTAATTGCTGTCACTGCCTTTTTAAAAAAAAACAACTGTTTGATCTTACTTGTGATTAGTGCTGGCAATTTTTGTGGCTCAGTGATGTATACAATATACCAGTCCAATATACCTGAATACTACTAAGTACTATATAAAGTCATACATGCATGTATTATAATTTTCGATTGCATACCAAGTATTGAGATTACCGTGTAGTAATTATTTAATTACGATTTAAATATACCCAGTAACTATTGTTAGGTAACTTGATCTCTGCTAGATATTCACTCAATATTGTTCCAGATCTGTGTTCTGTCTTGTCATTATATATTTGACTACCAAACATGTTCTTAAAGAAACTGTTGTCCTCTTTCAACCATCATGTTATTTGTAAAAGCACAACAATTCTTATTCAATATAGGTTGTGTTATTTTGTGATTCGATAAAATTTGACGAATTGATAGTCTAAAAACCAGAAATCGTAATTTATAAACATGTCCAGAACAGGGATAAACAGGGTGGTTTTATTCAAACTTCCATAACCATGTTAGTGTTTTAGTATTTTTACTCAAAACTGACATGATACCAATTCATGCAATTGCACATAATTTTGTACACTCATAAATAAAAGCATATTTTCATGCATTTACTGGTTGAGACATATCATTCTCATTTAGCGTGGCATTGGAAACAAAACAGTTTGGGATACATGGACTGCTTTTCCTGCTGTTACAGACACATTTGTGTGTACATTATGTAATTACATTACTAAAAAATTTAACATATTTTTCTGAATAATGTGCCTGAAAAAAAGAAGAATATTCACTACATTCAATTACCCACCATAGACCCCGGTCAGTCAAAATGACTATTTTGAACTGTAGGCATTAATCAGCCATTCTGCCAATGACGGAGAGATAAAATCTAGACCAGAGGAAGCCCCATAACCCCAAGATTCGTTTCCCTTATGTCACAAAACACGTGATCGAGGTAATGTGGTGACGCCATCTTACCCTGATATTCACTCTTTTCTTTATCTCCACACCGACTGGGATCAAGTCTAGCGGCTCTGCCTGGAAGGCCTGCCGTTTTCTGTCCGGGTTTCTAGCTTGGGTTGCTACCCAGGTCGCGGTAGCCGATACTGTGGCTGGTAGGATAAGTTTTTCTTATTATTTTTACTTTCGTGTCGTTTTCCCCTTTGTGTGTATAAAAAAATAAAACCCGGCGACGCATTTTAACCACGTTGTTGGTTTCTTTGTGTCACCATTTCCAACTGTATTTCGCTTCCCTCATGCATGTCGTGTTCATTTTTATGTTTCACCAATGTATTTAGAAATGGATAGATGACAGCACCAGGGGCTAGCTGCCGGCTTTGTCTCCTCTTTTTTCGAGGCGACTGTACAATGGTTATAATCAGAATTTACCAGCATAGAACCTGCATCCAAAATGCTATTTTTGCCTTCAAGGCGTGTGTTTTCACTGGAGTTCTGAGCCCTGGGATGTTTTCCAGAGCCATGCAAATCACTGAAACTTACCACGTTGCTCGTATTTCACAGCAAGGTCGTACAACCAGTAAAAATCGCTTAAAGTGAGTTGCGTGTTGGCATGAGTGGAAAGTCCTCACGCTCGGCTACCGATGCTTTGCGTACTGAGACGTTGAGTAGGAGGCCCGTCGGTGGAGGTACCGATATTTTTCGGTTTTCCCCCTGCTGATTGGAGGGCATCCTCACAGTCTGTTGTTTCAGGTGGTGGTTTACCCGATCTTACAGGCAACAACGAGGCTGTGCCTCTGGAGGTTTTTCTTCCTAAGGGGCCCTATGCGAGTCCCTTTGTGCATCCGTCCTCGCACGGCGCCGGGTTTGCCTCTGAGGGCTTTGGTCGAAGGACTGTCGGGGCAAATTGTGTCCCTGGCAGGCTGGGTAGATCAGATGCAGTCAGAGCGAACTGTCTCTACTGTGGCCCCTCAGTCAGCAAGCACACATTGGCCTCCCCCCCTAATTTCAGCCAGACAGGGTTCGTTGCGCCGTACAGGACTCGGGAATTTACCCTTGAGTCTGGGCTCCGCTGTGGATTTTGACTTCCTTCTTGCAGACCCACGGGCGTCCCCAGAGGGAACCGACCCTGTCATGAGACGCATAGTCGAACACGCTCTCGCTCACATATTTAAGTTGAAAGGAGACAGTTTGTTCGCGTTAGATACAGCCTGTACCTCGGGCAGTCCCTCAGAGTCTTCCATCCCTAACGACTGGTGAGCCACACCTTTGGGGTGATACAGTGTATTATCGATGTAAATGCCCCCACCCTTGATCCTAAGGCGACCACTTACAGTTGCTTCAACGCTTATGGGATCACGGGCATCAAGATCCAAAGCAACCCCATCGGCTTGTCTCTTCCTGTTCGTCTGAGTGCGGAGTGTGGCGCAGGGCATGCAAATGGTGTTGATGGGCGGACGTTGGTCAGCCACGGAGGAGGTAACGCTTAAGGCCCCCGGGTTGGGTGAAACTTATGCAACACTTTCCGCTGGACCAAACGCTACCCGGTCGGTGTGGTTTTGGGATCAGACCCCAAAGTGTGGGATGAGACCAAAACACCCCTAACCGGATCCCAAGGACACCCGCGTTTCATGGGCTTTCTCGCCAGCTCAATCTGAGACGAACCATCACGCCTTGAGGGCAGAGTTGCTTGAGCGCGTTATTGTGCGTGCCCAGGACTCAGTGGTGGGTAACCACACATCTACGTGCGACATCCCCTTATGTCACCTGGCTCTCTTGGCCGGGGCCACTACTTTGCAACGAGACACAACCTTAGACGCTAGTGTTTCCGCCGGCAAACTAAGTCAGGGGGTACGTCCCCACCTAAGTGACACAGACTGGACATCTTCCACCTCTTTGTTCGGGGAATGGCGGGTACAGTTACGGAGCTTCGGAGTGCATTGAACCAGAGGGTTCAGATCAAATCCAGCCAGTTGGCCCTGCCAAGGGTAAACGGAGGGCACCCCAAGCACAGAAAACACAACGCCCTAGCCAGGAGGCAAGCGCTCATACCCTTCCACGGGAGGGAAGAGTAGTGGTGCGGCCCCAGGGAGGAAAGAGCCATGTGTTGGCTCCTCACCCTCTTCGGGCGGTCATCCACCCCGGCATCGGGGGAAGCGTGTTTGACGCTTACCTCTGCGACCTGGGGGACAGGCATGTGTTCAGCGAGTGGCCAGGTCACAACTTAGTGACTACTTTAGGCCTTTGGGAAACTCACCTCATGGGAGAAGAGATCACCCACACCTCGCAACTGCCGAACATATCCCTGTCGTACACAGATTGCGCCGGTGTAGTCCGGTTTGGAGTCAACAGGTGACTGATCCCTGGACCTTTCCAGAGATACCACTGAAATCTCCATCTCCCCCGTCACTGTCTCCCCAATTGGGCACTGCCAGGGGACTCCTGCAAGGCGGAAGCAATCAGGCAGGAAGTAGCTGTTTGCTGGAAAAGGGCGCCATACACAGGGTAGATCAGCCGGCATGAAGTCCAGGCTTCTACCCAAATGTTTTTGTAGTACCAAATCTACAGGTGGTGGGCATCCAGTTCTGGACCTAGGCAGACTGAATCTGTATGTGCTCCTCGATCGGTTCCACATGGAGACGCCATTCAGCGTTTTCTCCTTCCACCGTTTTGACTGGCTAGCCCCACTAGACTTAAGCGGGGCCTACCTCCACATACCGATGCACCCAGCGAGTTGCCATCTCCTTCTAATCGCCCAGCTGGGCCAAGTATTCAAATTTCGGGTGCCCCCCGTTCGGATTATGCACAGCGCCCTACCACCAGAGTGATGAAACAGGTAGTGCTGCTGCTTCACCAAATGTCGGTACACCTCAATCCGTACCTAGATGACTGGTTACTACACAACCCTGACAAGAGGTTGTTAGCCAGGCTTTATTTCACCAGTTGGGCTCTTTAGTAAAACAGCAAGTCCCATCCCTACCCAATGCACAGTTGGTGTTCCTGGGCATGGAGTTTGACACAGAGGTATGCTTGGTATAGCTATTTCAAGCATGTTGCTTAGCGCTAAGCAGCCTAGCCGAACGCCTAGTCAGCGTTCTCTCAGTGTCCCTCCAAGAACTAATGCGGATCATTGGAATGATGACCTCTACGCAGCCTCCTGGTACAACGCTTGGTTGTTACAACGCTGAGCTCTAGTATGGGAACTAGATAGGCATGTAGGTTTTGATCTCGGACCAAGTGAAGAAAGCCCTGCCCTGGTGGTCGTCACTATTCAACCCTCTGTGTGTCCGTGCGTGCATGCGTCCGTCTGTGCGTGCGTCCGAACCTGTATCTTAGAAATGCCTGGACCAATCACAATCAAACTTCACACATACATCATACATGCTATTATACATATGTATGTCAATTTGTTTCACGATCTGATTCAAGATGGCCGAATGGTGGCCATTTTTGTGCTAAAAATCATCAAAATCAAGCATTTCTCGACTGTTTACAGATGGATTTTGTTCAAACTTGGTATTTACATTAGACATACATGTACTATGTATAGTAACCAGCTATGGTATAGTGTGTATGTAAGGCATTGATAACAGAAATATTCTGTTTTTTTCATTTACTAATTAAGTGTGAAAGATTGTCTTGTGAAATTAATTAATATTATTTTCCAGCATGTGCTGATGGTGTATGGGGTGTTAATTGCCAAGAAGACTGTACCTGTATCAGTGGTTCAAGTTGTAACAATGTCAACGGTGCATGTACAGCGTGCGGTATCATTGAATGTGACAAGAGTAAGCTATTATATCCATTATCATTATACGTCTACTGCTGTTAGCATGCTTTGTTTTTCATTGGCAACCGGAATTTGCATAAAAAATTTTACTGTTATATAATGTAATGAAGAACATTGCAAACCTTGGGCATTTGAAGTTAAAAGTTATGCATAAACAAATATTTTTTTCAGAATTAGTCAAATGACAGTTGCTCGCTGATGAACCTGCAATTGGGCATATGACATTAAACAGCATTTGTAAATTCCATTAAATTCTGTCAGTTAAGACAATTTTACATACATGTATATCTACATTGTCACCAAACACCAATATATATATATACGACTACATGAGTAAAGTTCACTCTACAGTACTGTTTCGTAAGGTACATGGAGTATCTCACTCATCAGGAGTTAAGACTTTATTAAATAAACCACCGAAACAGACTACGTTATAAGCGCTACAGATTTGCATAACAATGGAGTGCGTTTACGATATTAAAACTAGTTGTTGCATAGCAACGATTTGGCTCTGTGTCTACAGGAAGAAAAAAGCTCATTTCTTTTATTTAAACTACAGTAATGTGGTTGGAAAATTATAATATATTTCTCTTTAATACATAAGTTGCAACGTTTGCTTGAAGTATTGTATGGTGCAGCACGCGATAACACTCTCCATTTGATGTCGTAATCAATGTTATTGTCTTTTAATGACCAAGCGTATTTACTGAGCTCTGTTGCGTTTCTCAATGATTGGTTGCGTAGCGATGCAGTGTGGTTTCTGTACCGGGTTTTAAATTCATTTCCTGTTAGTCCCACATATGTTTCACACTTGTTGTTGTCTTGCCGTCTGATATTAGCTTGGTAAACCAAGGCCGATTGTAAA